ACCTTTTGGCTGATGCCAGGCATATCGTCCGGCCACCACGCAAAAATGATTGCATATGATCGCAGGACTTCGAGGATGCCGTCACGTTGGTCCTGTGGGAGTTGCTTCCCGATTTTCAGGACTTTCTCTGGCCGAGAAGTGTCCAGGGGGACCTCCTCGACGTCTTCGGTTGGCTCAGCATGTGGCCTCTCCTCGTCCTTGGTGACGGTGGCGATGATGGTGTCAATCCTCTGCCCGGAGCTAGCTGCCGACTTTGTGAGCTTCAAGTAACATGCTCTGGCTATCTTCTGGTTTCCCCTAGCGTAGCCAATACCGCCACTAGTAAGGAACTTCAGGCATAGGTGCGTCATTGAGATGATGGCATCCAGGTCCTCTAGTGCCGGCCTCCCCCAGATCAGGTTGTGGGCGCACTCGAGGTTGACCACCATGAACTCCATGTCAATCTTGACACGATGGGAGCCGTCGATGACCTCCACGGGGAGGACTATCGTGCCTTCGACATCGATAGAGTCCCCGGTGAAGTTGGACAACGGTGTCCGTATCAGCTTGAGCAGGGTTTTATCCAGCTTCAGCTGCTTGAATGTGTCAAGGTACATGACGTTGACAGAGCTCCCCGTATCGATGTAAGTGCGGTGGATGATAGAGTCACCTATCTCGCACCGGATGACGAGGGCGTCCCTATGTGATGCGGGTCCCAGAGGCAGATCCTTGTCGGTGAAGGTGATCGCCTCCATCCGCTACTTCTTCGACTGGGAGGAGCGTGGGACACCTCCCCAATGTAGAGGGATTGGGCCCATTTCTTCCTCTGGGTGGCTGAGTCTCCCCCAGTGTTGCCCCCCACAATGAGCTGGATGTGATTCTTCTTCGGAGGGGGCTCTTCAAAGTCTTTGGCATCATCGCTGAGCCTGCCGATTTCACGTTTCTTCGCAGAGGGTTCGCCCCCATGTTTGCCGGTGTTTACACACGTATTTTTGTGTGGGCCACCTTTAACAATCTGGGAGAGTTCCCCCTGATGAATCAGCTTCTCGATGGCTCTTTTCAGCGTGACGCAGTCGTCTGTGTTGTGGGAGGTGTTCTTGTGGTAACGGCAGTAGGTGCCGCCCTAATGGACGGCGTAGATTTCCTTCGCCGACCGAGGATCCCGTTCAATGAGATCATGTTCCTCAGCATAATTGAGGATGGAGTTGACCAAATGAGTGAGTGGGGTCTTCGGCATTTCCATCCTCGGCCGCCATACGCGGTCCTTGTTCTTTCCGCCAGATCCATGGCGGCTTTGTCCTCTCTGACCTCGGTCTCCGGCCAAGGGGGCGCCTTGAGCTGGTGCTATATTCGTCTTCTTGGAGGGGTGCCCTCCGTCCTTCTTGTGGCTGTGGAGCTCGTCGGCGTCAGCGTATAAGTTTCCTCGCTGAAGCGCCTTCGTGTAGGACCTTGGTGGGTCAGTGATGAGACTCCTCGCATATGGGGTGCTGCGGAGGGCGCCCTGAAATAGGACCAGGAGAGTGCGCTCATCGGCCCCCTCGACCTCATCGGTCTCCCTCGTCCATCGGTCGATGAATGACCGGAGTGACTCGTCAGACTGCTGTTTGACGGAGAGAAGATGGGTGAAATACTTCTTCGCATGATTCTTCCCGGCAAAGTGAGTGAGGAAGCGCTGGGCAAGATCCTGCCATGAGTCTATGCTTCCTTCGGAGAGCGCGTTGAACCACTCGTACGCTGGCCCTTCAAGAGTAGAAGGGAACCAACGACAGAGGTATTCATCTGACGCGTTCACCATCAGCATGTTATTGTGGTAGCGGCTGAAGTGCTCCTGAAGGTCGGAGCGGCCGTCATAGGGCTTGATGGCGTTTCCCCTGTACTTCTCGGGAATAGGGGCCGAGAGTACCCCGTCAGTGAAGGGAGTCCTCGTCCTGACCTGGACGATGGGGTCTCCTCGTCCTTCGGCCAACTCCCTCTCAAGGATGCTGACCTTGTGCAGAAGGGCAAAGCCAGGATCCCTAGATGAGTTGCCCGTGGGGGTGGCGACCAGTTGCTTGGCCTCCATCTGAGCGAGCCTTCGCTCGAGCTGGGCGATCACCTCGTCCATAGGGTCCTTGGCGGCCATGGTGGTGCCTTGCATCTGCAAGTGAGTTGCGTGAGCCGTATTGATTTGATGGCGCACGTCGTCGGCTTGCAGCTTGCCTTTGCTTTTGTCCAGGCGGGGCCGATCCGTTGTCCGGGATACGGACACCAAGCTTTCCCTCGGTGAGCCTGGCTCTCGCTGACCAATCCGTCCCGCCATCCTCTCTGAAACAGGCCGACGGCACATGTCACCTAGCCTGTTAAAGGCTGAGGCTTTTCCACGCGCTCGGTCGGTCCAGCTCGAAGCGGGGGAGCAGGGTGGGAGTGGGATGACGTCGTGTCCTGGGGCACCACCCCTTCGTCGTTGCCTAGCTTGATGGCCAACGGCTGGGGTTGAGGAGGCGGGGTCGTGTTCTCCCCCGTCCTTGGCATGAGTGCACTAAGGACGGTGGGGTTCTGGGCCAAGCTGGCGATGATGGCCGAGAGCGCAGCTTGGAGCTGGGGGTCAATGGCAGGAGAAGCCGGTTGCCCCGAGGCATTGTCGCCCTTGTCCTGGCGCTTCTTGCCCATGCCGATGCGAGCGTCGGGGGCACTGCCGTTGAGCTGATGGCAAAGATCATTCGTGAGGTCGATGGCCTCCTGGAAAACATCCCCGCCTGCGGCCTTGTCGGCCGTAGCGTCCTCCTCGTGTTCCCTGTCCTCCTAGGCCTCAGGGATGGTCTTGTCGAGGAGGTTAAGGTTGGACTTAGTTCTTCCCATGATCAGTTAGCTGTGCTTGGTAGCGACGAAGGAGGGTAACTTGATTGTTCTAGCTCTCAATGAAAGCACCAAATGATAGAGTATAAATCTAGAGAGAAGGGAGAGCTAGAGAGAAGGGAGAGCTAGAGAGAGAAGTGCAATAATTCTTTGCAATAAATTATTTGTGAACCCCCTACAACTACTCCAAAGGGGAATATTCATAGAGGAAATTAAGGCTGGCTCTCAAGTCTTGGGCTTGAGAGGCCCATTTACAATTGGCCCACTATTGGGCTGAGTACAAGATATGTAGAAATAACTAAGTGCGAAATCTGGTTCTCGGAGCCTTCTATGGCCGACGGAGCTATGACCGACGCGGCCATGGCTGACGGAGCCCCGGCCGACGGGGGCACCCGATTCTCCTGGCTTCCGGGCCATATTCCGATTTGATATCTTTTCTGGCCGATGGGGAGCCATCTGGCCGACGGAGGCCCCACTAGGTGACATCTGTGCCTCTCATTCTTCTGAGTATGTGGGTCCTGGGGTCCGGGCCCATATACTCCATCAACACGTAACTCAAAGGTAAGTTCATACAGTAAGTGAGTCCAAAAATAAAATGAAATTGTGTCCAATTTTGTCCGATAATACATTCATTGCAGCAATTTTAGGTAGCTAATTAATAACTAAATAATTTGCCCATATGAGTAGCAACTCGAGGGTTCAACTCACCACATTAAATCAAGTATACACTTAATATTAATCATTTATTTCTCACCTTTCATTAATAATTCCGGTTACAATGATGCATCTATATGAAATCCTGAATTTATTCTATGGAAATTTTGAGTTGGTATATTCCTGATGTGGCATGTGACCCACTTGATCATAGGGTAATTCCAATTCATTTTCAATTTATTATTTGTAAAGTAATTCCAAAATTTGTGTTCGTATAATCTTGATGTGGCATGTCACCCACTGGATCATAGGGTAATTCCAATTCATTTTCAATTTATTATTTGTAAAGTAATTCCAAAATTAAATTATTATATTTTTAGAACTAACTTTTCATTAACTTTTAACAGTGAATTAGGATACATGGTACTATTAAAAAAGTTCTAATTTCAAAAGTCGGGCCACTTTTACAAGAAAGGTTTGCTTATGTTATTGAGAGATTTGGTTGTTACTATGAATGAATCGATGTCACAAAAGCTAGAACACTTCTGACCAATATCTTCTCAATTTTTTGGAAATAACTATGTGTGGGTACCTACAATTAATAGTGTGCCTTGACACCATTTTCATTTTTGTAGCTTTAATGATATTTTGGCTTGAAAATATGAAGGGCCATTTGTCAGTAAGTCTCGATCTTAAGATATACTCCGTATTATCGCATTATGTTAAAACAACACTCCAACAATTTCACTTAAATTACAATACATAGTTGTAATTTCACACATTGTTGAGAAGGATGATTTGGATTGAGTTAGAAAGCGATGGACAAAGAAAAACTCATGGAGATTCTTTTAGAAGATGTGAGGCGTGTTTCAATTAATAATTAATAATATAGCATCAACAAGATTGAATATTGATCTAATAATGAAACAAGTATAACTATTTAGAATTTTAAGCATTGGATCTTTTTATTCCAGAAGCAAGAAGATTAAGTGCTCATTATGAGCATAGTTGGGAGAACATACTAAACAATACCTAAATAGTGAACATATATGAAGAATGCTTAGTTGTTTAATAGTAGAAATCTGTCAAACTAAAACATGGAGAATGCGATAATTTTAAATAAATTCTTATTTTATTCTAGATATATCCCGTGCATCGTACGGGTATTGAGTCTAGTACTCCCTTTCGCTCCGCAATTAAGTTACCACTTTCCTTCTTGGACAATCCCTAAATTAAGTTCACACTTCCTTACTTTCCTTATTTGGCAAATTATCTACATCAAAACAATGTCAAATAGTGCAAAACAGTGTCAAACAGTGCAAAATAGTGTCAAACAAGGTCAAACAATGTCCAAACAGTGCACTCCACAGTAAAGTCAAATTTATTTAATACTCCATCCGTCCCCCTATAATTGTCTCATTTTTCCATTTTTGGATATCCCTTTATTATTGTCTTATACCACATTTGGTAACATTTGTGTAGTTCTAATTCATTTTTACTTTTATTTCCAGTTTATTAACTCATTACCAACCACTTAACCGTACGATTCTATCCTTTCTTTCATATCAATTCTGATCGCCCTTCATCGTCTCCTGTGGCCCTGTCACTCCGAGTTGGTGACGCACTCACGCCGGTCGGTGCTCTCCGCCTTAATCCTCCCAGACTGCAACCAGCGATTCTCTGCCGGAAACCGCAGTGCGCCACTGCCTCTATTCGCTGGTCTTCCGAGTAAGCCTTTTAGTTTCAGGCCTTCAGTTTTATTTTTGCTATTTTTTTTATCTTATCCATGATTTGTTTTTTTTGCTATGAATGCCGATTGCTACCTAAAACCTACAATCTGGTTCATATTTCGATTGCTACCAAAAATCTACAACCTGATAAAACAAGCAACTTTGCAGCAATTTAGATGGTTGCTGGTCTGTTCAACTTCCTCCCTTTTCAAGCATTACTCCACGAAAACGATGTGTTATTTCAAATACTCCGCATCAAGTTAGGAAACTCAATTTTTAGATGTTTTTGTCACTAATGGCTATACACAATTGAAGATGTATATGCTATACCGCTCTTATTTTCACATTCTAGACAAGTATTCGATATGTTCTCTCTCTCTATATGTGTGTGTGTGTATAAAATATGTCCCGGTATTCACATTTATGTCACGGTCTCCTTAAATTTAGATGGAAATTTGGCAAAGGAAATTGCAATACGTACAGATATATGTTTAGAGTGTTCTTCTGGTGCGTGGTGATCACCATTTCTGAAGTCTGCATTTTCATTTTCAGTCACAAACCACGCAAGCGAAAGTAATTTTACTTATACATGTTTTTATTTACTTAAAACAGTCTGAAATCTCGTAAACATCCCAATGAACAATGAAGAATATTATTATTATATCTTGAAATGTGTCTTCCTTGCATAAGAAGTGGGGAAAAAATTATTGGCAATCTGTCAATAATTACTCTATGACTCAAGCAGGTATATAATTCAGAATGGAAAATGAAGGGATTGCAAACTCGAAGAAACGAATGAAACCCTCTGTATGGTCTCTTAGCCTTCAGCCTTTTGAATATGTTTAGCATATGAAAAGTAAATTGCTTTCCAGATATCATGTTCTAACAGCAATGCAACCACTTATAGGCGGAAACTGAATCAAGCGAGTCTGAAGGTCCTATAACAAAGGTTGCAGAAGATGAAGCTGCAGTAAACACCATGGTTTCTGGACAAATGGAACTAGAGATTGCTCAAGTTCATGAAAAGATCAATCGCTTCACTCAGCTGGTATGTTTTGGTGCTTAGATACCCCATTACCACCGTCGCTGCAGAGGAAAACAAACTGACAAATGCAATAGATGAAAAAATGAATTAAATATCCATGACTTGGTTTGCTTGGTCGTACTGAATAGTGAATAGTGGTGAGAATATGGTTACACTCCTCACACAACTGTGATCCCGATAAAACAACTCTAGTTATGGCTTTATAAAAAAGTTTATGATCCACTTTTTGCCTGTTTACATGCCTACAATTATCATGATCTTACAAAGGTATCAGAGATGCTGGAATCAGGGAAGTCCATGCTGAAGGAATTGAGTAATGAATTTGAAGAACGAATGATCTTGTAAGTTGGGTAGTATAAGACCCTGTTTGAGACGACTTACAGACTTACAGTAAACAGTTCTTCAAATAATTTTGAATTGAGAGAAGTTCCCTTAATGTCTAACCATCTAAAAGCCAAATGTTACATTTAATTATTATTTGTTGAATTCAATTCAATAAAATTGTTCTGTTCAGGAGAAGCGAGCCAGGCAGCATCATCATTTGCTTCTGAGATTTGAAAAAAGTGCTTCTATAAATAATGATTTCTCATTTGATCAATAATACGGTGCTTTCCTAAATAAGTACAGAAGTGCTTTTCTACAATTAGAAGCATTTCTTTTCGCTCCCTTGAAAAATGCTTCTGTATGAAAGGAGGCACTCCTATTAAAAACATTCATTGAGAATAAGTTCTTTTCCCAGCTAGGAACTGAACATAGAATTTCTTTCTACCATTATTCTGCAGAATTCACCAAGACCAGATGGAGAAGTGGCAGGAAGAAATCAAGGAACTGCGTTTGCTTGATGCCTCAAATGAGGAAGCTGATGCGGTTTTACAGAATGCCAAGTACCTATTTCGGCATGTTCGTGTCGACTCCTGAAGCTAACATTATCAATATAAGCAAATGGGAGTACATCATATATAATGATCTGGCGGCTTAAGCTATGATGGGTTAAAATTAGAAGGCATATGGAAGACTGACTTTCTGCAGGATATGATATTATGAATGCTCTAGCATATGGAATACATTTTACAATATGTATAAAATGGTATCACATTCAACAATAGTTAGTTATTCAAAAGAAGTCCGTATTCGAATATTTACACATGAAAAACAAACATACATACCCCAAATCTAACGTGTAAACATCATCACACACACACACCCATGCACGCATATGTATGTATACTTCAATATATACAGAGAGAAAGATAGATTGTCCGTATACATATATTTATATACATAGTATTAGTTTAGTACTTTAGTGTAGGTACTAGGTACAAACTATTACTACTACTACTACTATATTTACTCAAGTCAGTAGCTAACATATACGAATTCGTCTCGCATGTTTGCATTATTGTAAATAAAAGAGAACTACTAGTAAAAGCATCAAAACAAAATGAAAGTTTGTCCTTCCAGCTCTTTGGCGGATCTAGGTACCGCGACCTGCCCCAACCCCGTCTTTTTTGTTTGCCACTTCTTCCATCATAGCTTGACCATTCTATGTCGGCAGCTCTCCTCCCTCCTGCGTCGCTCGGCCTCTCTTACATGGTACTCCACTAATTGTTTTTCTAAATTATAGCTTCTTTGGGACCTATTGTTGTAGTAATAAGCCACCTTTGTGAGCTTCCCTCCCCGTCCTCTGCATTAAACCTAGAGGTGTTGTCGATCATGCTCTCATCCCTTCCACCCATCACAAGATTAGTAGCCCATCCCATCCTGACTCTCAGCTCTGGAATCAATCATTAATTACCATCATTGGAGTTGTTGCGTCCACTAGACGCCCGTAACAAGGTCCATAAGGCCTAACCATTCCTGATTGTCCCAACTCCAGAGGGAAAAACCTATATGCATGACCAATAATATCACATGCAAAACAAAAGTTGGAGAGTTTTTCATACCCAAAATCAACCCAGATCCAATCTCCATTTAACCTCTTAAGCTCCCTATTCTTTTTTATCGGTTTTCCAATACTAAGACAAATAGACTTTTCAAATACGCCTTCCACATACCCTCAAAGTAGTTATCATTAACCTTTATAGACCTTTCTAAACAATTTCAAATTCCTTGTTGTACTTCTAGGGCTAGAAATCTCACCGACCGATTATGAACTTGGACCCAAAATTTGGCTAGATGTAGGTGAACATTGAGAGGAAAAGAAAGTCATGAGCTCGCTATTCATGCAACATAACTAGATTTTGTTAAAAAAGTGATACGGACGTGAGCTTATTGGCGAGGGAATTAATAGAAAATTAGAATAATATTGAATATTTTAATTAACTGTAAAAAGGAAGTAGGCCCAAATAATTAGTTATTTTGAGGAGAAGCCTCTTTGGGAATAGAATAAATAGTAGGATTAGAAAAGAGAGAGACAGACTAGGATTTGGAATTTGTGTCAGCTGTATTCTTCTTATACTACACAGAGATTGAGGCCCTCTCGAATTTGTCTCAGCTGTATTCTTCTTATTTCTATGATATCAATAATGTTTTCTACTCCTATTCTCTGTGTTCGTATCATTGGTATCAGAGCAGTCGACCCCGGGAAGCTTCAATCTACATTCATGCTATAAAAATGGAGCAACAACGTAGGGAACAAAAGGCGATCACCTCTGGTTTGTGCACGAACATGGTGCACTAACATGGAGAAGCACTTCTCGAGGATCCAAACAGGATGCCTTTCACGGAAAGGTGGAGAAGCGTTCGAACCTGGTGAAGTGCTTGAACGGGAAAAGCGGCTAAGAGCAAGGAAAAGGTCAAAAGTGAGTGGGCGAAGGAGATGAGGGTCTGGCTGGACGAGATGCGCACCAAGCTGTGAAAATGGAGTTATTGGCAATCATAGGTCAATGGGGGAAGTGTCAACGGGAGTTGAAGTTTTTTCTAGCTCAGGATTCCCTAAAGAGCAGATTCAGGATCTCATTCCTGGTTTCTTCAGTCATTAACCGTTGGTGAAAATGTTTCGGGAATACCAGCAGATTGTATACCTGTCCAAGATGGGGGGTGTAGGTTTTGGTGGTTTGCTCCATATTGCAATTGCTGATAAATGGATTGAGTTTCTCGAGGAAAGAGATAAGGATGGGAAAATGGATGACAATGTTAAAACACTTACTACAAGAAGGTGGATGAAGAAGTGTGCTACTTATGTTGATTGTAATGACCACACTCTTGTCGGTGAAGGCGTGGTATTATTCTGGGGTGCCTTAGCAAAGATATTAGTGGAGGATCATCCACAAACTAATGCAATTAAAGGATCAGAACCTAGGCATGAGCATCCGTGTGTGAGCCCTAGTACGATGATATGCAGGGGAGAAACCATCAGTTCGCAGGCGACATCAAATTAACGGGAGATGTCCTGGGACAGAAGCCACATCCGCCCAGGAAGAGGTATTTACATGTTCATATCAAATTGTGCTTATTACTTGGTCAGGAACTCTGTAAGAGCACTTTTTGGGGATTGTAGAGGGTGCTGGATAGGGATGGACCCGGGCCGGTCCGGTTCCAGGCCGGGCGGTTTTTTTTTTGCAAAATGTTGGGCCTGGAACCGGCCCGGGTTGATACCGGGTCCGGGCCGGGCCCGGGATTTTTTTTTGGGTTTCTAATTAACACCCGACCCCCCAAACCCCGGTCCCGGTCCGATCCGGGCCCAAACAGTAACGGGCCGGGCCCGAGATTTTTTTTTGTTTCTAATTAACACCCGACCCCCCAAACCCCGGTCCCGGTCCGGTCCGGGCCCAAACAGTAACGGGTCGGGCCGGTTCCGGGTTGGGCCGACCCATTTTAGTCCATCCCTAGTGCTGGATGAAAGCTATACTAATATAAATGTTTGGACCAATGAGGTTATACATCTATCAATTGTCCAGAAAGGGTACTGGATTCACATGGTTTCTAGTCAAAAAGTAGATGCCAAACTTGCAACAAAAGACGGTTCTCTTGTGAAATGTGAAATAAAAAAGGGATCTCAACAGTTCAATTGGCGGGAACACTGCTTTTCTGCCGGCCATATCCAACTTTTCAGAAGTTAGACCCAGACCTGTTCCGGACCCGACTATTTTAACGGGTACGAGTCTATATTTTATTCCATTTACTCGGACCTGAACTCGGATCTGTTAGTATTTTTGATAAACGAGTCCGGTATGGTACATATGATTCCGACCCGTTAAGGACCCAAACTCGTTCAAAATTTCTTATTAGTATATATATACACACTCACACTAATACATAAAGTGATTAGTTATAATACTTCAAATAAAAAAATACAAACCAATACACACATACTAATACATAAAGTTATTAGTTGTAATTCTACAATTAAGTAGATACACTCTAATACATACCTACTTTATAAATGATACTGATCGAGATAATGAGATATCCTAAAACTAATACTCATTTTGGCTGTTTATTGATACTAATAAAGTGTGTATTGGGCTCGGTATACAAACAACATCCAAGCCTTAGTCCCAAAAGATATTGAGGTCGGCTAACATGAATCGATACATGATATCACAACCAAAAGGAAAAGAAAGAAAATAAAGATAAAAAAGATAAGTTATTATAAAAGATAGGCTAAAGGGTCAAATAGGTCCTTGTACTCATATCAATAGCTCAATTGGGTACCCGAACTAAAAAAAGGTCCAATCCAATCCTCCAACTCTTCAAAATCGTTCAATATTTTCGTTTTTCAAAGGCTAAAGGGTCAAATAGGTCCCTGTACTCATATCAATAGCTCAATTGAGTACCGGGAGTTTACTGGCTAAAGGGTCAAATTGAACGATTTTGAAGAGTTGGAGGATTGGATTGGACCTTTTTTTAGTTCGGGTACCCAATTGAGCTATTGATACGAGTACAAGGACCTATTTGACTCTTTAGCCTAAAAGATAATATAAAAAGAGATGAATATACATAAAAATGATAAAATAAAAAGGCTACAAATAATGCTTATATATATATATATATATATATATCGATTCATGTCATGTGATGTGACTATGTGATGATACTATCGGCCATTACACGCTTACCATAGCACCCTCCTCCTTTATACTGACTTGGGACAGACACGATACCAAAAAATGATATCATGGCGGAGTTGTATTGGGCTCGGTATGCAAAGCCCAATATTTTATTATTATTAATATTCACTACAAGAAATTGGATGTTTTCCCCACACAAGAATTAGCCACACTTAAGATGTGTAGATGCTTAGCCACACATGATTTGATTTATGTGTGGGTAATAAACTAAAATGTTTAAATTAAGTTAGTCACACATATCAAATGTGGGTAAATAGATTTTGTGGCACTTAAGTTTAGCAGGAAAGTTTCCGCCGTTTTTTTCATGTCTACGTGGATACCCCGCTTGAGTGGGCTGCTTACGTGTTTTTTAAGTCTTAGTATTATCCACACATGTTCGTAATTTAGAATTATGTGTAACTAAAACATATTTTTTAGATACACTTAAATGATACATATTGAAGAAGTGTGGATAATTATTAACATGGTTTGATTAAAAAAGGGAGAATTCCCTAAACAGGAGTAAAAAAGTTTTGAAATTCCAAAATAGGAGTATCATGTTTTTTATTCCTTCAATAGGAGTAAATTTCTGTCAAGTTTGGCATTACTAGGTTTTAAAATATGACATTTTTTACAAACTTGGCAGATTACTCATATTCAGAGAATAAAAAATATGATACTCCTATTTTGGAATTTCAAAACGTTTTTACTCCCCGCATAGCAACAGCACAGCCTCTAACTTCAGTTCAAAGAAGCCGCAGCGGTGATATTCCGTTCAAAGCACTAGAGATACTCGCTTGGATGAGTTGAAACAAATGGTGTTTGGATCTGATTCTTAAAACTGTTTCTGCTCCTTCAGAGAGTAGAAGCAGAAATTGAGGTGTTTGGGTGAAAGTGCAGAAATGATTCTGATGCTCTAATTTACTCCTAGAATCAGTTTTTTTAGAAATCATTCTGATTCTGCTTATGCTTTAAAAAAGAAGTATAATCAGAATTAGTTCCAAACACCCCTTAGTGTTTTAGATCCTTTGCAAATACAGGCAAACAAGATTGTGCCGTTCTTTGCACTATTAAAATTTTCTTTGAAAGGGTTCCTCCGTGTTGGGAATTGGCTGAAGATATTAATTTTTTTTTTCTTCTGCAAAAAGGGCTCCTCCGTGTTGAACCGATTCAGGGCATGCCCCTGAGACTAGTGCCACTCCCTGCTTTCGATCTAGTGTGAGTTTGATTTATGCTTTCGCATTGATAAATTTCTTTCGAATTCAAATTGGAATTTCTTTCCTCACATCAGTTTAGAAGACTCCTAAACTGATGGAATTAGTAACTGGACTACTATGCACGCCTCCGTATGAAAATTTAATGTTTTTTTGAAAAAAAAATATTGTTTAAATTTAGTAATTGAAATTTAAAATTGATAGCAAACTCCTAACTTCCACCAATCTCCAGCAATACACAATCAGTTTTAGTTTACACTCCTTTTGGCCACCGATCCCTCAATTATATTGTATATTAATTTTTGTTTTCTGATAACTGAATTGTTTGTGAATTTTCTATTATTAATTATATGAACAAAGAGAAAGAGTATGTTGAGAATATTAAAAAGTGCATGGTGTATCTTGAGTATACGTTATATGCTTTGTTTTTTATATGGTTTCTTACATTCAATTTATCTCAATTTTTCTGACTTGGTGTTATAAATAAATATTACTGATGGAATATTCTGGCCAATGTGGCCGTCTCCTGTTTTGGTTCTTCGTGTTTGGCCGTTGTATGCGCTTCACTGTGGATGAAGAAGGCTGATGTTCCTCTGATGGTGCACATTTGTTTGTTTGAGGATGATGAGTGTCCTAGCTCAGTGGTCGATATGTTTTCTTGATTTGAATAGCTGAAGAGGATGACGTTTCTTCTTTCTGGTCGTTGGCGGTTGCTTTTTGTGTTTTGGCCGAGGCCTAATGATTGCTTTCGTACTTCATGCCAAAGCGATGATATTCGTAGTTTGGTGTCCATCTTTGAGGATGATAGCGGCACTGATCCAGAAGGAGTGCGTATTTTGATCTTATGGACGATGATGACCCGAGGACGTTGTGTTCCCGTTTTCTGATCTTGGCCGAGAGTGGAGTACGTGATCTCAAAGCTGTTGAGTGGCACGCGTCAAGGGACGACACGCGTCACGTTTTGGGAGGTGAGCTATACTTCCTTGTTTGCTGACTTTGTTTCGGCCGAGGGTGCAACACAAGGTCCTGGATGTTATGGTGCGTATATGACATAATGTTGCTGTAGTTGTGGACTTGTGTGTTTTTGGATTTTTAATTTTGTCCTTGCTTGCATTTTAGAGGCTGGTGTAATCCCCCAGTCCCCCACTGCTTCAGGCCGAAGAGTGAGCGAGGGGTGAAGGAGTAAGGTGTAACCCTAGGCCGAAGCGGGATCTTGTATTCCCCTGAATCCAACCCCTTGGCGATTCTTGACCAAGGTAACCATGTGGCAGAACCCTTGGACGCAAGTCGCTTTCAAGAAGTTATCATCAGGGTTTTATACAAGGTTGATGGCTGTTGGGTTGTTTTTTGCTTTGCTGTTATGGCCGTTGGAGGGACCCTGTTGTTGGTAGCGTGTTAAGCCGATATGGCCGCGCTTTGAAATGGGGCCAACCGTTGAATGTTCTGGCCGCTGTGGGTGCAACTTGTTTGGTTGTTAAACCGTAGGGTTTAACGTTGGGCTGATGGTGACGGAAGTGGGCCTGGCCCATCTGTGAAACGGTGGCACGTCACTGGGCCTGAGGTGGTGTCCGTTGGTGTAGCCACTAGGAGGGTGCCATGTGTAGTGACCGTTGGGGGGAGGTCTATAAATAGCCCCATCCTTCCGAAGGAAGTCCCTATTGCATTTTGAGATAATGAAGTGCTGCCCAAATTTCTAGAGAGATAAAGTGCTCGCCGGTGTTCTTCCGTTTCTTCAAAACCTCAAAGGTCAGTTCATCAAACTCTTCTCCGATTTCTTGCATGCTTTGCTTCCTTAGGCCTTGATTTAGTGTTAGTCAAAAAACCAACCTTAGATCTAAAGTAGTCCCCCTTAGGGCTCCATTAGTTGTTATGATGAATACCCTGGGCGAAGAGTACTACCCGTATGACGACGAGGCCTCTGTCAAATCCCTTGACTACCGAGTGGTGGAGGAGTGCTGCGAGAAGATAGAGGATTTGAGCTCCTTCAAATCAGGGGAGCCAGAGGATGTAGAGAACCAAGATGAGGAGGCCGCCTCATCATCTGAAGGTGAGGACGCAGGAGTCTCTCGTGTCGTGGATGGAGCATCTACCTCGGCTGCCATTCCTTGCCCAAAGCCGGTGTCTGCGGTTAATGGGACCGCTCCGAAGAGAAGGCGCCGATCGAAGAAAGGTCTCACTTTCTCCTACATGGACCTTACCAACGTTCTTATCATCAGGTTGCAGAGCTGCGCGGCCGAGTACCTGGTTGCCCAGATGTACGTGGGACCGTTTGGTAGGGTTAGGGCCCCTAAGCTGACGGACCACGTACTTAATCCACCGCCGGGCTACTTTGGGTATACCCCATGAGTTTTGCCAAGGGGCTCAGGTTTCCTCTTCATCCGTTCATCACAGAATATTTGGAAATGGTGGAGCTTCCTCCGGCACTGCTGACCCCGAACAGCTATTCATTGATCAATGACTTTCTCCTTCGCTGTGCCCAGTTGGATTTCAAGCCGACAACGGCTCTCTTCATGAACCTGTATCAAATAGGCCGTGGTAGCCACCAGAACTGTGCCGACTATGCCAATCTGCATCAGGTGAAGATTAGCAGGTCCTTCACTGATCTTCCGACGTCCATCCATGGGTGGAAAAGTAAGTTCGTCTTCGTGTCGCTGGGCGAGGGTGGGACCAAGTTTCCTTCCGTCGGCCACAGTGGGATTTTAACCTCCATGATGCGCCGAAGAGTTCAATCTTGGACTCTCAGGAGCGTGAAGGAATATTTCACGGAGTATAAGATGGCCGCCCTCGGCTTCGTGAGGTACTTCGTCTACGGGGATGCAGAGGATGATGTCGAAATTTGGCCGAAGATGACTACCACCTTGGAGGAGGCCGATGGCCCGGATTTGGGCGTTCCCGCCGAAGCCGATGGTAATGCCTCCCTAACGTACTTGATCCCCTTTTCTTCTCTTCGCTTTACTAATGTTTGTTTTCTTTTGTGCAAACCTTGTCATGGATCGCAGGTCCGTCATGAGCAGGGCTAAGGTGAAGGTGGCCGCTGAACAGGCCGCGAAAGATGCTGCGAAGCTGGCCACAGAGACCGGAGCACAGCCGAGCGCTGCTCAACCGTCGAAGCCGTCCACCCGGCCTAAGAAGAAATGGCAGGCCGACGATGGCCAGAAGAAGCTGACTGAGGCCGGTATGCAGTCTGCCAAGAAGTCAAATAGGGCTTCTCCCTTGGCCGACGCTGACGCCGGGGCCATGACCGTTCCGGCCGGAGACTCCACCGCTGCTGCCCTAGTGGACTTGACTAGGGGTGGACAAAAATACCGAAAAATCGGTATACCGCACTTACTGTACCGAAAAATACCGGAATATTGGTATACCGTCATTTTCGGTACGGTATGATACCGTACCGATATATTTCGGTACGGTAACGGTAATTGTTTTCATATACCGCGGTATACCGGTATAATACCGTACCGACTCCATACTTACTAATTATTTTATATTTTTAAAAATATTGTAGAAGTCCACTAAAATTTTTAAGCCCAATATTAATACTCAAGTTGAAAATAAATACCAAAATACAAAAGTTAAGGCCCAGTTTTCCAAACCCAAAACCCACTAACCTTATGTCATGTACGTAACATTCAACCCTAAGCGCTAATGCCATGTTCAGATCGAAACCAGTCCATCTTCCAAGAGCTTGCGATGCTGAGCGGCTGACTATTTAACGAGTGAAGACTGCAGAGGGATAACACGAGAGCACACCGGTCTGTCATCTGGCTTCTTCCACTTTGAAGGAGTCTGGCTGAGTTTGAAGGTAATATATTGTACTTTGTTGGCTCTCAAACCTCAAGTGAAATGGTAGAGGAACGATACATGTCTGCCATTTTATTTTGCTAAGACGAACTTTGTACACTTACCACAGTAATCATCAACTCAATTTAAGAGGAAAATTTCACAATTGACTTAGAGAACGTCTACGAAGGAACTTTGTATCTGGCACATTTCTTAGCAAATGCAATTACTACTTTATTTTAATTTCAGGCACATAATTAGTTGATAATGATAAAGTAAGGATATAGGTGCATTTTTTGCTAAATCTGATCATTAGTCTTTTTCATGTATTTTCTTATTTTATTAATGAAGTGTATCTTTTTCAATACTTATTTTAGTATTTACGGTGACTTCCATTGGAATCACCAAATACGACTGAATGTGAATCCCATGAAGATTCTACAAGACAAAAAAGAGCACGAGTTGATTCAACACCAAAGCCACCTACTAGTCAAGCTAGGAGTATATTCTGGTCGGAGTGTGTTAAAGGGACAAGGACCTTAAAAGATGGACGCATTCAGCAAATAGGAATATGTAAGCATTGTAAAGCTGAGATTCCTACAGTTGGTGGAAGTACAAGCGGGTTAAAAAATCATTTGACCAAGAGATGCAAGTCCAGTCCAATGTATGAAGGTAATCAGAGTGATAAAAGTCAATCAATATTGACTAGTGAGGCTATGGGGGCATATTAGTGCTTTAACTTCTCATACTTTTAATAAAAAAAGATGTGAGTTAAAGATCACCGAGTTTGTGATTATAGATGAAATGTCTTTTCGGTGTGTTGAAGGAAAGGGTTTTGTGAGTTTACTTCATGAACTGCAACCACGATTTAGAATCCCTGATCGAAAGAAAGTTGCTAGGATGGTTTATGATACATGGACATCCATACAGAATATTAATTACATGGTAATTACTGCACATTTTTTGGATGCCGATTGGAAGTTACATAAAAGAATAATTAACTTCACCAAAATTACTAGTCATGCGGGGGAAGAAATTGGAAAAATGGTTGAGGGTTGTCTGCGAGAGTGGGGGATAGAAAAAGTATTTTCAATAGTGGTTGATAATGCATCTTCAAATGATACTGCCATTGATTACTTGAAAAAAAAGGATGAAAAGTGAGAACTCATTATTGTTTGAAGGAAAATACTTACACCTGAGATGTGCATGTCATATACTTAACTTAATTATTAAAGATGGCCTGAAAGAGCTTTGTGATTCAATTAAAGCTATAAGGAATTCTGTTGTGTTTATTCATTCTTCCCAGGCTAGGTTGAGTAAGTTTAGAGAGTATGCTGTGCTAGCTAATTTTTCTAGTACCTCGACAGTACCTATGGATATTAAGACAAGGTGGAACGCAACTTATAAGATGCTTGAAGTTGCGTTGAAGTTTAGAAGAGTGTTTGAGAGGATGGATGAAGAGTCTTTACCTTTCATGATTTTTTTTACTGAAAAAACTGAAAAGGGGAAAGTCAGGGTTGGACCTCCAAATTCTGAAAATTGGGAGCGTGCAAAAGCGTTTGTGCACTTTCTGAAAAAATTCTATGATGCTACTTTAGAACTAAGTGCAACAAAAACACCAACTTCCCAGTTAATCTATCAGTCAATGATAGCACTTCAAATTGAGATTGAGAAAAGGAAAACTGATGATTCTGACCCAACACTTAAAGAGGTTGCAAGTGCAATGATGCTGAAATTTAAGAAGTATTGGGGAACATGGGACAATATGAATCCTTTGATTTTTATTAGTAATGTCTTAGATCCAAGAAATAAGTTTCAAATGATCAAAGTTAGCCTTAAAAAAATTGAAACAACTACTAGAACTGTCCAAGACTCTTCTACAACTGTCCAAGACTTTGTTGATAAGATTAAGAATGATTTGGTGAGTTTGTGGATGGAATACAAAGGAATGCATGACTTTTTGAATGGTGAGAGGCAGAATATGCAAGGAGCGCGAGAGGGTGGGTGTGATACCTTAAACAGTGGGGATGGTCTTTGGGATGAATTATTTAATGAGGTTGAAGCTCAAAATGAACAAGAACAGTTACAGGAGATTTCCAATGAGGTGGATAAATACCTAGCGGATGACATTGAAAAAAGATCTAACCAGTCTTTTAATCTTTTGGAGTGGTGGAAAGAGAGTGAAACTAGGTACCCAATGCTTGCTTTTATTGTCAAGGATATTTTTGCGATTCCAAGCTCAACGGTGGCTAGTGAATCTGCCTTTATTCTGGGTAAAAGGGTCGTGGATCCCTTTAGAAGTAGTTTGAGTCCAAAGATGGTTGAAGCATTAATATGCACAAATGATTGGCTTAGAGCGGAGGAGTTCTCTTTTTATAAGGATCCAACCGATGATGAACTTGATTTATATAAAGAAATTGAAGAAATTGAAAAGAGTAAGAGCTTTTCTTGTTAAGTTGAATTTAGTGAAGTATCATTTAATGCTTATATAATGCCTAATGATTATGATTTTACTGTTTTACAGTTGCAGAAAGTACTCAAGGCTGTTCTAAATCTTTATGTGACATCTAGAAATGGTGAGCTCTCAGTTTAAAGCTTGCAATTTAGGTCATGTTTCACTACAGGTCACCATTAGATGAACATATACTCCGTATTTGATTGTATAACATATAAGTCATCCTTCATTCATTTTTTTTGAAATAGTCTAATTATCAAGATATATTTTCTAGACCAAGCCCTCAAGAGCATTGTAATCCAACCCCTTCCATCCAAAGAGGCCCTTATGGACTCTTCAGCTGGTACTTTATATCATGTTATGAAAGATCATGATACCTATGTAGACTATAGTAGTTTTTTAATTTCCTTTGGTTTCTGCAACCTGGTTATTGGCATATAAATGATTTTTTTCTATGTTATTATTTTGAGGGATTTGATAAAATTCCTTTGAGTAAAACTGACATGTATGACTATTTACATTGGTACCAAATAGGTTAGTGTATAAATGTTGAGGGTTATGAATATTTACACTGTTTGTTCAATATGTTGCAGTGAGCTTCATACGGGTGTTGTCCCATACACCGATCTTCGTGCAGAAGCACATGTTGGTTTCTCCTTTTGTCAAACTTCATACATTGAGGTTCTTTAGTTTTTCTAACACTTGATATCTCCGTATTAATACTCTTGAATTGTAGTGGATGAGTCTTACGGTGTGGGTCGTGTGGCTGATCCCATGTGGCAACACAAATAAGTTTACATCAGTCTGCACTGCCTATGATATTCTTGCTCTTAGTTTTTGAGATAAGAATTGTTCATTAAGGGGAAAAAGTATGTAGGGACTTAACTAGGGTGATGGAACTTTGTTCATCTCTAATTCTTTCTTCTAAAGATCCTACTTTTCTGTTTTCTGCCGGGGAAGTGGTGAACAAATTACACAAACGAGGAGACGAACTGCATCAGGCTAAGGAGTGGAGGATGCTGCATGAACCAACGTCTTATGTTATTTAAACATTAACTTTTGTCTTTGGTTATTTTGGAAAAATGTTTATGTATGGTGCATGAAAACTTGTTTTTGTGTAATGGGAACTTATTATGGTCTTTTTAAATGGATGTGACCTTACTCTTGTGTTAAAATTCATTATAATGTATCTCATTCGGTATGGTACGGTAATACCGAAAATTTCGGTATACCGATTCTTCGGTATGGTAAGGTATGAGACTTTTGTCAAACCGATATTTCGGTATACCGAAACACGGTATACCGAAAGTCCCGGTTCGGTATCGGTATAAAAATTTGGCATACCGGATTTTCGGTATGGTATACGGTATATGATGAAATTTTCGGTATACCATATCGAACCAGCCCTAAACTTGACATCCGGCCCCTCGTCCACTGCTGTCTCTCAGCCTCCCCCCGTCGTCCAAGACTCCCGGAAGAAGCAGTCTGGAAAGGAGTTGGTCCGGAAGGGAGGCGTCTTCAACGAGGTTGTTGAGGGCCACGACGTGATCTCGCAAGCCGTCCTAATCGAGGACCGGACCTATCTTGACAAGCTCGAAAACGTCAGGATCTACGACGGAGGGATGGACCTCATCGTCCAAGTAAGATCCTTGCAGACTCTGTTACTTTTGTCTCTTTTTTTTGTCATGGTAGGTGTCGTCATCATCCTAACTAGTTCATTTTTGCAGGGGGCCTTCATGCTGATGGAGAGCCACAAGAGGCAGCAGCAAGAAATTGCTCGGCTGAAGGAAGCTGAGCAGAAGGCTGCTTCGGCCGAGGAGGCCATGAATTGCCTAGAGCGGCTACGGGGCGAGGTGGAGGCCCTGAAGAAGAGAGCTGACGAGGCCGATGCGGCCTACTGCCAAGTGGCTGCTGACAGGGACGATGCCCTGACCAAGCTCGCCGGTGAGAAAGAGGCCCGCGAGGCTGATCGCCTTCGTGCTGATGAGGCTGAGAAAGCCAAAGCTGAGGCCGAGAAGGCCGCCGATGCTGCCATCGAGAAGTTTCTGGCCGATGGCTGGAAGGCTGGGGAGCATCGGCCTTGGTGCTATGAGCTTGTGGCGGCCAGGCTCGAAGATTGGGGCCAGAACTCTCTTGCTGGCCAGGAGTACTTTGAGAGGGAGATGTCGGTTTACTACGACATGGGCCAGCAACGGATGCAGCGGCTGATCTACCAGAGGCTTCATCGGCGCTTCACAGAGCTAAAGCTGATGAAGAAGTTTGCCGCCAAGCTGAAGCTGCCACCGAAGATGAAGGATCCAGAGGCCGAGGTTAATCTTCCCGCGGAGGAAAGGCAATCCCCCATTCTGAGCTCTGACATCGGTGAAGAAGATTGGGGTGATGATGACATTTTTGTGGACACCGCTTCCTCCCAGGCCGATGATGGTGCCGACACGCTTGTCCATGATGTCGCCAAGGGAGAAGCCTGATCTCCCTTCTCTTTTTTTCCTATTGATAATATGTAACGGCCGTAGTGCCTGTATATGTAATGGCCGTTGTGCCCTCCATTGTGTACTTTTGACTGTTATGAATGGAAATGCTTGGCTACCGATGCCGGCTTTAATGCCTTCTTCGTCTTGTGTCACCCCCCCTCCTTTTCGCTTTTGTTTTTACTTTGAATTTTTTTTCTAAGTGTCAAACAAAGGCTTAAGCAGTTGGTTCCTGTGGTCGTTGCCGATGAAGGTACTTTGCCCTTTGTTCGGCCGATGGGATTTTTTCCACTTTTGGCCAAGGAGGTTTGTTGGAGGTTTGTTTCCCCTTCGTGCCTTAGTCTTTTGTCATCTTCATTGGGACTCTTGTCGGCCACTTGGGATGCCACTCATCGGCATACCCCTTTTCCTTGTGTTCAACTGAAATGTACTTAGTCAATTTTTGGGGATTTTGTTTTTATTGCTCGAGGCCGGCAAGTGCACGGTCCTTCGGCTATTCCTCTTTTATTTTTTGGGGATTTCACTTTAGGCCGGTGATGTGAATTTTCTCGCACTTAAAAAGATTGTAATATAGCAGTGAAAGTACGAGTATCGTCTCCACAGGGACGGTAAAAGGGAATTAAGAATTAACTAAAAATCAGCGATAAAGAATAAATAAAATAAATGCGGTCGTGCGAGATTTGGTTGCTTGAGAAAACTAAAATTGCAAATAAACGATTAAAAGTAAATGATTGGGTTCTTCTTAATTAACAACGAAGGGAACAGGGATTGATTCCGGGGTAATCAGATTTCTGGCAGATCAGGCTTAATTAATGAATTTAATTTAATTGAGCCTAGCTAATCAATACTAAGTTCTTACCGCTCTCGCGGCGTAGAGTACAATAATTTAGAGGACCAGGCTGATCTCTCATGCGACAGGATCCTAAATTATTGCCAAGACGAACGAGCTTACGGCCCCTTAATCGCTACTAATCTCTTAGCGAACGATTAAGTGTGTGTGAATGTGTCCTAGAACAAATTAGATCTCTCTTAATTTATTCTATAAGCAATTGTAATTCTAGTGGTCATTCTAGGTTACAAAAGATATCAATTAAATTATTCAAACACAAATTAAATGGAATTCATGCAATTTACACCATCAAGAACCTAACCATACATCATGATTAACCCCTTCATCAACCCCAAATCCCTAATTAAAACTACTCACAACTCATAATTGAAGAATCAATAGAATTGCGAAGAATAGAATTAATTGTCATTAATTAAAAAGATGGAACTTACAAATAATCCAAGAGAATTGAAGAACAAGATGGAAAAGTAGAAGAAATTTCGTCCCTAGGGCTCTCTCTAAGCTCCCCCTTTAATTAGGGTTAGAGAGGTGTTATTTATAGGAAACAAAGCAATTCGGGTTGAATTAGGAAACAAGGAAATTCGCACTTAAATTAGGAAACAAAAACGGGGCACGCACGGCTTGGGTAAAACGTCCGAATTCTTGAAAGTTGTAGATAATGAAGTCCTCTATCCATACCAAATTTCCGAATTGGATTTGAATCATCCAATCAACAGATATGAATAAAATGGTGGAATGTCTCATTCTGAAATCGCAACAGGGACCATCTGACTTCGTCGTCTGTTTTCACATTCTTCCTATCAGATTCTCGGAAAGGTGTCTTCGCATGATTTGTAGCCCTTGAAGTTGGCTTTCATATGGAACTTGAAACGTGTACATTGGATGTCTCTACAAGGAGATATGCTTGAATGATTAACGGAAGGTCATCCTGATCGTCATTTTCAAGCTCTATTTGTCTTATTTTGATACCGTAGCCAATCCTAGAGCTCTTTTATCTTCAACTCTTCATCGTAAACCTCCCGGTGAACTCCAAAGCTCTCAAATCAATCTCTAATGTTTCTCAACTCGTCCCGATTGCTTCTCAAGCGCCGGTGTTGGTGTCTAAAATCCTGATTTTGACTCCAAATGACACAAAACTCGAACCAACGCCCGGTAAACATAACTTGAGTTAAAATTGAGACTTGCAACACCTTAAAGCTAGGAAAACTATCAAAATGCAACCCCAACACGCATCAAATGCGTGTTGTAATATGTACTTATCAGAATTCCCCCACACTTAAGCTTTTGCTTGTCCTAAGCAAACAGAACAACGGGACTTACGATAATCACCACACAGAATCAAAACAGTTAGCAGGCACACGTAGCTAAAGGAATATTCACAGAACAGACAATCTAAACCTAAAAAATTTATCCCTAAACTACATCTTTGTACTCAAGCTAACTATTTGACAAAATTATTCACAACATCCTTAAAGTAATGACAGCATACACAAATAAACTAGCTATTGATCAGAAGGACTTGTGAAGGTGATGGTGAATGGTGGATGGTAATAAATAGTCCCTTTCTTTTGAGAGATTGGAAAATATTCTAACAAAGACTTAATGCATTCAGGAATTTCAGGACTATTCTTAGGATCAAGGAACTCAGTAGGCCACAATTTAGGAACAATCATCTAAACCTATGCAAAGAGTAGACATGGTGTACAACTAAGCTAAACCGCCGCAGCACGTTGGTGCTTTGACGTATACTTGAAGTACGCGGAGAACTAAAGCTAATTTTCAATAGCCTCCAAGTTTATTAATTATGTTTAGTTTTCCTTGTCATGTTGGCACGAGAACGCCATTTCTTTCGAAAGATACCCAAGTCTCATCTTATTGTGTAAAACACTTACGCTTTTTGACCCGGGCTCCCATTCTCTTTTTCGCAAGGTAAGAGGTCTAGCTATATTAATTTTTTCACCTTTCGGATTCTTACTTAGACATTACCCCATTCTAATCACGGCCTCACCAAGGAAAAATAGCAGTTAAAGTTCATTTGTTTTAGAAGTGAATCCACGCCTACAATGCAATCCTCGAAAATATCAAGATCCTAAAAAGTGACTGCTCTTACCCCATTTGGGGCATAGGAACAGTGCCAAAATTGGCTCCTACACAAAATTCCATAAACTTAGCAAATTCATCCCCTAGTTCCCTAAACATGAAGACTACGTCAGAAATATTCACGGGTAAGAAAACAGGCCATTTGGCTATGGAGCTCAATTAATTGGGTAGACAAGGAATAGTTAGGCTCAAAATGGCTTCTCCTAAAGGACTTTTTCAAGTGGGATGGATGATTATGAATTAATTCAACGGGTGACTAATGCCTTCATCCTCTCAATAACTAGATTATAGTGCAAGCAATTTAAGCCTAAACACTTCAAAGATGTTCTACAAGCATAGTCAAGATGCTAGCCAACTCACAAAGACACAGTTTAAAGAAAAAATTTCAAAAATTTTGACATGACTTTTCTATGAATATACAACTAACACCTGCGCATGCTAACTCTAAAAATCTCATGTAACAACTACTGCCCGACTGCCCAATTCACTCCCCCACACTTAAACTTTGGCATCGCCCTCGATGACCAAATATGCACTATGCACAAGGGGTAAAGAGGAAAGGGTCACGCGTGCTCAATCTCAACTCAAGTCAACATTACAAATAGGCGATTATAAGAGTTGCAGAAACTTCCCTAAGGCGCTGGTCGGTGCAGAACTAAACTGAGTCAAGTGATCCTCGGCACATCATCCCCAAAATAAGACCCTAAGCTGCAAAAACAAATCACACAAAACACACAAAACAAACAAAACAACAACAAATGCAGAAGTAAGCTCGGGTTGCCTCCCGAAAAGCGCTATTTTTAACGTCGTTTGCCCGACGCAACCACCTCCTCAAAAACTCAGTCAAAGACACTCCCGCTCAAAAAATTAGTCTTCCACAAATCAAACCTCCTATCAACAAATGCCCTGAGATGACGTAAAACCTTAAATTCATGAAAACAATTGCGCATCTCAGGGCCACTCGTAGAGCACAAGAATGAGTCTAGGCCTTTATCAGGCCCTTTATCAAAGAATGGGTCAAAATCAGTCTCTCTAAGAGGTGGGGGTTTCCCTTGCTCCTTTCCAGGTGGATCAATGGCATCTAACAAAAAACACTCATTAACATCTTGACCGGACTGTTTTTCAAGTTTGGCCATGCAAAAAGTGACTCTCTCCTCCCCAACTCTTAAAATCAATTCCCCTTCCCCAACATCTATGAGGGCCCGAGCAGTGGCCAGGAAAGGCCTTCCAAGAATCAAGGGCACATCAAGATCTTGGGGCATATCTAGGACAACAAAATCGACAGGAATCACAAATTTGTCCACTTTAACCAACACGTCTTCAGCAATCCCCTGGGGGTATTTGACCGATCGGTCAGCCAGCTGTATGCACATGCGTGTTGATTTAAGTGGACCGAGTGCAAGCTTCTCATACAAAGCAGAAGGCATTAGATTGATGCTTGCACCCAAATCAGCTAAAGCATTATAAAAAATCTCATTTCCTATAGAGCAAGGGATAGTGAACTTACCTGGGTCCTTGAGCTTTTTAGGCATCTCCTTTAGCACCACTGCCGAGCACTCTTCATTCAGCACCACCGATTTCGGTTCTCCCCACTTTCTTTTGTTAGAGAGGAGTTCTTTCATAAACTTTGCGTACCTCGGCATTTGTTGCAGTGCCTCCATGAATGGTACGTTTACTTGAACCTGTTTGAAGAGTTTCAAAAACTTGTTGAAGTCCTCAGTGTCACCCTTCCCCTTTAATCGTTGCGGGAATGGGAGGGGTGGTTTGTAAGCTTTGACTGGAATGGATTGCTTTGGGACTTCCTCCACCGCTTCCTTCCTCTCTTCTTCCTTCTCCTTCTCATGGCCAATTTCAGCAGGTACAACCTCCGCAGACTCCTTCTCTATGGCAGCAGGTTCAAGGTCCCTTCCACTTCTTAACGTGATGACATGCACTTGCTCTCTTGGGTTTGGCTCGGTATTACTAGGGAGGGATCTCTGAGGCCTCTCATATATGGCTTTTGCAAGCTGCCCCAATTGATTTTCAATATTTTGCATACTTGAGTCCGCTTGCTGTTGAAATTGCAGTTGTTGCTGCTGAAATTGCAATAATTTCTTGAGTGTTTCTTCTATGCTAGAAAATCGTTGTTCAGTCTCTCTCCTAAAGCTCCCTTGCACCGGTTGAGAAGCTTGTTGTTG